CAGAGTGGGCAATGGCCTTTTGCACTGCGGCCGAGTTCTCTATCTGGGCCAAGGCCAGGACTGCATTCTCCATGCAGGGCAGATCCCCGCTTTTGATGGCAGTGACATAAGTTAGTATCAGGTTCTGTAGACCTACACATAGAAAACAAATTATGTTCTTTGTGGTAGATAGAGTGAGGAAGTCTCTCTTCTGCATAATTCTCTTTTATCATCTTTTGCCTCATCAATATCATCAGCATCACTGGAAAGCCTCATAGAAATGTCGATTGTTAGGCCTTGCCTCAGACCTACTGAAATAGAACATTTTCTTTGGCAATATACCCTGGTGATATTTGTGCACACAAGAGGTGTTCTATATAAAGGAAACCTGTTTTTTAGAATGCTTGTATCTACTTGAGGCTCAAACATTGCTTGAGAAGAAACCAAAAGAAAAGAAAAGAAAAAAAACCATATCTCTCTCATTTATGTCTGTATCATCTGTCCTCAGTATCATGCCCATGGTTTGCCTTTGATTAATATTTGTGGAGCAAACAGTACTATTTTAATTGGAAGGAGTGCTTCTTTGGATTCATTACAACTCAATGTTGTCCAAAAAAAAAAATTTTCTGAGATATAAAATGTTCTATGTGCTTGGTGTCCATTACTGAAGTCACTAGTTATATGTAGCTCTTGAGTTTTTGAAATGATGCTGCGTGATCTGAATTTTTATTTCCTCTTAAATTTAAGTAGCTACACATGTGTTTATTGGAGAGTGAACTTCACAGTGTAAATCCAGCTTACTGGCACGATATATATATATTTTTTGAGTTGGAGTCTCACTCTGTCGCCCAGACTGGAGTGCAGTGGCCGCTCCCAGCCACTGCAGCATCGACCCACTGGGCTCCAGCGATTCTTTCGCCTCAGTCTTCCGAGTAGCCGGAATTACAGGCATGCACTACCACGCCTGGCTGATTTTTTAAATTTTATTGTAGAGATGAGGTCTCGCCAAGTTGCCCAGGCGGGTCTCGAACCTGTGGGCTCAGGCAATCTACTAACCTCAGACTCCCAAAGGCGCGGGATTACAGGCTGAGCCACCGAGCCCGGCTACTAGGACGATATTAAGGACAGAGTTTCCTTACGTTGGGCTTCACTGTCTTTCCCATTCAAAGATTTGATTAAAGTTAAGCATTAGATATTTGCCCAAATGGTTAGAATTTAACTGTATTAATAGTTAACCCTGCATGTCTTAAAGCTGAAACTAAGTGCATGCTATTCCATTCTCTCTTAGTCTTCTTAACAATGAGTAGAAGGATGTGGAAGAGGACTCACGTGGCCCATTGACCCTGATGCCTCCTGGAAGAGTTTTAACTTTAGAATGGCTGAAGATATGAGAACAGAATTCTTCCACTTGTTTCACAAAATCAGAGTCCACCTCATCATCATGTAGTGTCTCCAGCTGGGTAAGCTTCTTCCAGTCAGTAGGTGGGCAGAAGACAAAGCATTTCTTATTTGGAAAGGACTTCCGGATGCAGAGTCGAGGAAGGTTATAATTATCAACTTTTTTACTGGTACCTGGATAAAAATAAAAAGAAATGATAGCTAGTAGAGTGTTTTTCAAGTAAATGTTTGTTCTACTTCACATGCTTTAGCTAAATGCAGCCTCACGAAACCTAATCAGGGAGACAAAAGCAACCTTTAGTACTACAGGGAAAAAGAAGAGGAAATGAACTTTGAGTGTGGAAGACGACTGACTAGACAGGCCAATCACCCACCTCCTTACAAAAAAGCACAACTATGAGTAGATAGCTACACACTGTAGAGAGAATCTCTGAGAGCACACACTGGAATTCAGCAAGGAAGTAACAAAGAATAAGATTGGCTTGAGGATGGGGAGGGACTCCCATTTGGGCAAAAGATATGTGCGAGATTCCTGGCAATCCACATTCCCTCTAGACATCCACAGTCCAAGACACAGGAGAACCTCTGGCCTCTGCAGTCCCTGAGCCCGGTATAAGCAACTGTCACCTAGAAACCATACAACTGCTATGTTCAGAGAAGGCGTTCACGCTGGTCCCACTCAACACCCTAGATCCAAGAACCTGACCATGGTACCATATTGAGAACGCAGCACCCACCAGACTAAATCCTGTCCCTTGGCCAAACAGCCCTGATGCCCATATTCCTGGAGCCTTGCTGATACCTTCTTCAAAGGGTTGTGGTGTCATGATGTTGACTGGACCCAGACGTGCAGCTGGGCTCCCAGCAATCTAGCCCAGGACGTATTCACTTCAGGAGGCAGGTGGTCCAGTACATTAGGGAGGCTGTCCCCAGGCCAAAGAAAGTCAAAGTATGTGCTTCCCAGAGCCTGAAAAACAACCGCCGGAGCCCACTGCCACCAACAGCAACCCCACCCACTCTAACATCAGGCTGAAGTGCACCTGCATGAGTCCTCCGGGGTCTGAGAACAATTCCCCTCCCCTAGCTCCCGCCACTGACACTGGTTCACATGCATGTGGTGTTGAAGTCTGAGGACAGGTCGCCCCTGCCCGAAACTGCTATGCTCATTTCACTCTGCAGGTGTCTGGGAACGAGTCTGTTCTGCTTACCAGTACCACCGCCTGTGCAAGCCATCTTGTTCTGCCTGCTGCCACCAGTGACTGTGTTGTCTTTGGGGAGCCCAAGGTCCAAGCCGCCCAGCCTGCTGCCACCATCACCCACCTGCATATGTCATCTGGGGCCTGGGTACTGTCCTGCCTAGCCCACTGTCTCCTCTTCAGGTGCCTGCATATGGCACCCAGGAACCCGAGAGTGGGTCGCCCCCCTGCTGCCACTACTAGCACCATGCATGCTGCTCAAGGATGTGAAGCCAACCCATACAATCTGCTGCTGTCACTTCCCTTGACTGTGCAGGCCACCTAGGTGACTGAACACCAGTCTGCTCAGGCCAACCACAGTCGCCACTGGTGCGTGAGGACCAGCCTGCCTGAGGAGAATATCTATTATCATGAAATACAGAAAATATAAAACTTACTTGCAGTTACACAAAAAGGAAAGAGAAAGGACCAAAATGAACACTACAAAAAACCCACCCAATTGTAAAGGTAAACAATAAAAGGGAAGAAAGAGATTAAGGATACACAAAACCATCTGGAAACATTGAACAAAATGACAGAAATAGATCCTCACCTATTAATAACAGGTTTGCCTGCAAACAGTATTAATTTCCAGTCAAAAGACAGAGACTAGCAGAATAAATTTAAAAAAACCCCCAAAACCCAATGTAACTATGAGCTGTCTACAAGAGACTCACTACCTGTAAAGACACACAGGCTGGAAGTGAAGGGATAGAAAAATAATATTCCATGGAAAAACAGCCAAACCAAGCCCCAAGTATGTGGGAATTGCTATACTTATATCACACAGAGCAGACTTTAGGTAAAATAAAATGTAAAAAGAGACAAATAAGGTCATTATATAATGACAATGGTATCAATTTAGCAAAAGAATACAACAATGACGTATATGTCAACACCAGAGCGCCAGATATATGAAGCAAATAGTATAAGACCTGAGGAGAGAGACCTCAATACAACAATAGGGTGGACTCAATGGTCTGCACCGGGAAGATCATTTAACAGAAAATCAATAGAGAAACGTTGATCTTAATCTGCACTATAGACAGAATGGACATAACACAGATTTATCTGAAATATTATAGCTGGTACCACCCAAAACAAAGAATCGTTAGAAACTATTTTGAACAGCCATATGCTAAGAAATTGAAAAGCCTAGAAAAAATATATAAATTACTGGATATATATTCTACCAAGATAGAACCAGGAAGAAATAGAATACCTGAACAGACTGTTAAGGACTAATAAGATAGAATCCATTATAAAAAGGCTCCCAAGAAAGAAAAATCCTGGACCGGATGATTCTATTGCTGAATTACACTAAAGTTTTAAAGAAGAACTAACATCAATTTTTATGAAATTATTACCAAAATATTGAAGAAGATCAAATTCTTTCAAACTCATTCTACAAGGCCTGCCTGATCCTGATACCAAAGCCAGACAAGGACACAGCCAAAAAAGAAAATCCTAGGCCAATATCCATGATGAACAAAAGTCCTCAACAAACTGATAGCAAACCTACTCCAACAACACATCAACAAGATAATACAACATGATCAGGTGAGATTTGTCTCCTGAATGCCGAAATGTTTCAACATTTGCAAATCAGCAAATCTGATACTACACATCAAAGGAATAAAGGACAAAACCATAGATTATCTCTAAAGTCTCAGAACAAGCATTTGATAAAAATTGAACATCCATTCATGATAAAAAAAAATTCAACTAATTAGGCATAAGTATCATCAAAGCTATATATGACGGACCCACAGTTAATATCATACTGAATGGGGAAAAGTCGAAAGCGCTGTCTCTAGGAAATGGAAAAGGATGAGAATACCTACTTTCACCACTCTTATTTAACATAATATTAGAAGTTTTAGCCCAAGCAGTTAGATAAGAAACAAAAATACAAGGCATTAAAATTGAAAAAAAGATAGCCAAATTATTATTCTTTACAAATATCACGATCTTATATATAAAAAAACCTGAAATCCACCAAAAATTTTAGCACTGATAAATTTAGTAAATTTTTTAGGATACAAAATCAGCATACAAAAATCAGTGATTTTCAGAAATCTTTAAGAAACTGATGAATCAAGAAAGTAATCCTAGCCGGGTTCGGTGGCTCATCCTGTAATCCCACGCCTTTGGGAGGCTGAGGTGAGTGGATTGCCTGAGCCCATGGGTTCGAGACCCACCTGGGCAACTTGGCAAGACCTCATCTCTGCAATAAATCAAAAAATTAGCTGGGCATGGTAGCGTGCGCCTGTCGTTCCAGCTACTTGGAAGGCTGAGGCGGAAGGATCTCTGGAGCCCAGCAGGTCGAGGCCACTGCACTCCAGTCTGGGCGACAGAGTAAAACTTCAACTCAAAAAAAAAAAAAAAAAGTAATCCTACTTACAATAGCTACATACAAAAAATGCAATGCCTAGGAATAAATTTAACCAATAAGATCATAACCTCTAAAAAAGTAAAACAAAACTGATGAATGAAATTGAAAAAGATTTGAAAAAAGAAAGACATCTCATGGTCATGAATCAGAAGAATTAATACTGTTAAAATGACAACACTCCTAAAAGAATTCTATAGATTCAATGCAGTTTCTGTCAAAATACTAGCAGTATTTTTCATAGAAATAGAAAACCAACCCTAAAACTTTATATGCAGAAATAATAACAAAAGGCCAAATAATCAACAGATTTAAAAAAATCTAGAAATAAAGCCACATATGAGGGGGGGACCCCTCAAAAACCCAGAATTTATTTGTAAAAAATTGTGTATTTATTCTTACATGTTTAAAGTTTTCACCTTCAAAATACTCTCCATTTGATGTAATACCTTTTCCACTGCTCAAAACAGTTTTTGAACTCACCAATTTTGATGCCTTTTAGTGCTTCTGCAATGTTTTGGTCTCACCTCTTTCACATTGACAAAATGTGTCCTTTGAGGACTTTTTTCATCCAGGAAACAAAAACAAAAAGTCACTCAGGGTGAGATTGGGTGAGTAGGGAAGGTAGGGCATGGAGTCATGCTGTTTTTTGATCAAAAACTGCTGAACACTCAGCACAGTGTGGGCATGTGCACTTGTAAATCACCCATCATGAAATAGGCAAATGCATTGAAAGAATCATCACAAAAAATTCACTGAAGCCAAATGCAGCCTCTCACAACAATGCTAGCTGGTACACTGTCACCAGTGGGTTCCTAAACACATAGTGGAGGAAATCTGTAAAAAGGGCCTGCCCTCCAAAGATAATTCAGTTTTCCTGGGGGGTTCTCCTAGTATCTACAGCCAACTGATTTTTTTAGATAAAGGTACCAAGGACATGTACTGGGAAAAGGACACCTTCAATAATTGGTGCTAGAAATACTAGGTAGTCATGCACAGAAAAATGAAACTGGACCCCTATCTTTTACCACATATAAAAACCAATTGAAAATGGACTAAGGACTTATACATAAGACTTGAAATGATAAAACTACTAGAAGAAAACATAAGGGAAACATGTCAGGACATTGGTCTAAGCAAAGATTTTATGGCTAAAACTTTCAAAGCACAGGCAACACAAATAGACAAATGCAACTAAATTATACCCAAAAGCTTCTGCAAAGCAAAGGAAACAATCCACAAAGTAAGGAGGAAACCCATAAAATGGATAAAATAATTTGCAAACTGTTCATCCAACAAAGGACTAATATTAAAAATATATGAGGGGCTGAAGAAACTCAACAGAAAAGCCCATTAAAAAGTAGACAACAATGCCAGGCTCAGTGGCTCACACCTGCAATCCCAGCACTTTGGAAGGCAGAGGTGAGAGGACTGCCTGAACCAAGGGGTTCAAGACCAGCCTGGGCAAGACAAACCTCGTCTCTACAATAAATAAAAGAATTAGCCACTCATAAGTGGGCCCTGATCATTAGTCACATTGGCACAAAAGGAGGATCATCAGTCTCTGGGTACGTCTAGGGGAGGGAGGGAAGAAGGGGAGAGAGTGAGTTACAGGTGACAACACAAAGGGAACCTGGTCAACTACCAGGGGCACTGAGGGCCAGTAAGAAGCCAACACTTCACCTTCATGCCCCATACTTATGTAGTTCATAATGACTTTCATCCCACATCTCTGTAAAAAACAAGGTTAAGCAAAATAAGACAGACAGAAAACAATAAAGGCACAAGTTCTCACTCATATATGGGAGGGGAATAAAATGAGCTTATTTAAGTCGAGAGTAGAATTGTGGGTATCAGAGGCTGAGAAGGGTTGCAGGGTATGGAGGATGGGAAGATGTTGATTAACTTCTATAAGGTTGCAGATAGATACGAGAAAAAATTTCTGGTGTTCTGAAGAACTGTAGGGGGAATATGGTTGATGATAATTTAGTATATGTTTTCACAAAGCTAGAAGACAGGATTCAGAATGATCACAAAACAAAGAAATGACCAATGTTTGAGGTGATAGACTGATTACACTGATTTGGTAATTATGTATTGTATACATTTATTGAAATACCACTCTATGTATCCCATAAATATGTACAATCATTATGTGTCAACTAAAAATAGGAGGAAAAAAGATTTTGTTTTTATTCCAGAGGATTAGTCAATTAAAAATGAATTTATAAAGTCAGATATGAAATAGGAATTATGTCATAAGAATAGCCTGGTGAGTTGAAAGAGAAAACTGTAAATGTAAGCAAGCCACCCTCAAAAAATGCTATGTAGTTCTAGGTGTTCCTCCTCCCTGTGTTCCTGTCCCTAGTCTCTGTTACCTGACTTTAGCTTTAGGGAATTCTGCAGGTAGTCGTCTGCTGAGAGGACTTGTTCATCTGCTTCCAACTTGAGAGTCACATCTCTCAGAGTCCACACAAAGTCTGGGAAGAAGCCTATGAAGTCAGCTGAATCCTCAACCTCATTCTCCTCAGGTGAGGATTTTGCTCGGATTCCATCTGTCAGTTCTGTCACGTAGCTGAGCAGCTTACTAAGGAAAGGGGCAAAAATGAACAGGGCCTCCCATCCCATATTAGTTCCACATTATTCCCAAACCTTCATTTTGTTTCTGTTCTTAACCCAACGGTCTCTAAAATAAGAAATGGGATCTTTCTCCTGCACTTGAATTATTTTTTAATAATATTTTCTCTTTTTGAGCTAAATTCAACCAGGATTCACAGCCATGCAGGTTTATTAATATGGCTGACTTTGGGGCTCATCTGGACCATGAAAGGATACTGCAGATGGTCCATGGCCTGCTGGTTGATGGTTCCCATGCTATTGTATACAAAGGTGCTGCTCAGGAGGATGGCCAGGGCAAAGATCCAGGAGTCATTCTCGTTGTCACCCTGGAAATCAGAACACAATTGGGTCAGCAGTGTTTTAAAATCAGCAGTGGTAAAAGTATGCATTTTCAAGTGAGAATTTGTTAGACTAACAATATTCAAACAAAATCCAAATCCAAAAAAAAAAAATGATTATTCATAAGCCTTGGGCTTTGAATAATTTGTATTATTATTATTTATTTATTATAGAGATGTGGGGCACAAGTGAGGGTTGACTACAAAAGTAGGCTGCATGCAAGTGAAGCTTGGGCTTCTAATTGGCCCTCACTCTCCCAGTCGCAGGTCAGGTATCTTTTGGGTCGTCACGTGCCTTTCACTCTTCTCCCTCCGTGCCTTTCTAGCAGTGCCCAGAGACTGTGGATGCCTCCCTTGTGCTAAAGTGACTAGTGATCCGGGCCCACTTATGAGTGAGAACATGTGGCATTCACTCCTTTTTTTCTGTGGTAGTTGACTAAGTATGATGGTCTCCAACTCCATTCAATTTTCTGTCAAGTCCATTGTTTTGTTCTTCTCTACGGCTGCATAATACTCCATTATGTATATGCACCACTTTAAAAATACATTCTACTTTTGATGGGTAGTTTAGCTCATATAGCTTAAATTCTGCTGTTAGTATAAACGAAGTCTGTTGATCACCAGTAATCTCAGTTAGGATTCTGTCTTTAGCAATCACTGACTGGTAAATTTCCCCTTGTGATATGGAATGAAAAACATATTATAGTTAAGTGTGAGCTCCTATTTATGGATAAAGACTAAATATCTTACAGAATATCCAGACATATAGAGTTTATTCCAAAATTAAATCCTCCTTCCTTACCTTCTCTACATCTCCCAAGCCTTCAGTGTCAAGAAGAACTAGAATGTGTTTTGATTTCTTGGGATGAGGGACATACCACATCCAGATTTCTTTGGTGTGAGACTGCACCGTGGAGCCCAAAAAGAAGCCTGAAAGTGAGTGAAGTGGGGAGGAGATGGTTTGGAATTTTAATAGGAGGAAATGTTGAAAAATGAGATAAAAGCATAATCAAAGTTAGGAAAGATAACTAAAAGTGAAACGAGTGTTGATCTTTTTGAAATCAAAGAAACAAGGAAAGAGGAATATCTAACATGAAAAAATTCAACTATTTTATGATAAAAAGAGTCAATAAACTATAAGTAGATGAAAGCTATTTCAACAGAATTAACTCATATGAAAAACCTACAGCCAATATCCTACTCAAAGATGCAAGACAGAAACTTTTCCTCTAAGATCAAGGACTACGCAAGTGTGCCCACTTTTGCCACTTCTGTTCAACATAGTAGTGGAAGTGTTATCCAGGGGAATTGGGCAGGAGAAGGAAACAGAAGGCATTTAAACTGTAAAGATAGAAGTGAAATGATCTGCACACCGATGACATGATTGTAGATGTACAAAACCTTAAACATTCCTCCAATGAACTGTTAGAACTAAGAAACGAATTTAGTATATTTGCATCATACACAATCAACATACAGAAATCAGATGCATTATTATACACTAATAATGAACAATCTGAAAAAGAAATTGAGAAAAAATTACATTTACAAAAGCATCAAAATAATAAACTATATATGAATAAACTAAACCAAGGAAGTGAAAACTTTTATAGCAAAAACCAAAGTGGTACTGAGAGAAATTAAGGTAGACACAATAATTAGAAAGACAATAACTAGAAAGATGGTTTGGAAGACTCAATGTTCTTAAGATGCTACTACTACCAAAGTGGCAATACAGATTCAACGCATTCCTGTCAAAATTCCAATGAAGTTCTTACAACAGTCAAATTCAGAGTCCAGAGTGCTAGCCATTGCCCAGGGGTCAAATTCATAGAGACAGAATGTAGAATGGTGGTGAGAGAGGGATGAATAGGTAATATTTGTTAAATGGAAACAGTTTCTGTTGGGGAGTTTGAAAAAATTCTGGAGATGGATAGAGGATATGGTTGCACAGCCAAAAGGTATTCCCCAAAATGGTTGCAAGAATAGCCAGGTACAGTGGCTTACACCTGTAATCCCAGCTGTTTTGGAGGCTGAGGTGGGGAGACCCCTTGACTCAGGAGTTCAAGACCTGCCTGAGCAACATAGGGAGAACCTATCTCAATTTTTAAAAATGGTTTTTAGAGTAAATTTTATGTTATGTATCTTTAAAAAAACTAATTAAAAATATCCACTATAAATTGAAACATTTTTGCATCCTTAATGATCATTGATAAGTTATTGCTACCACATGAACATCTTAATAAATGTCTTATACCTTATTTCACTTTATTAATATGTACATTATTTATTTTTATTTCTGCCTTACCTTTTATAGAAGAGGAACAATTTACACTTTAAAAAGAAAAACTAAGACACAGTAAGGAGACTTAGGGAGCTGACTCTTATTCTCCAGAATAGATTGACGATGAAAAGGTCAACTGTGAACTGTTTAGAGTTACTATAAAGAAGTAGCTGAGGCTAGGTAATTTTTTTTCTTTTTTTACGAAAGAGGTTTATTTGGCTCACAGTTCTGCATGCTGTACAAGAAGCCCAGCACCAGAATCTACATCTGGTGAGGGCCTCAGACTGCTTCTATTCTTGGTGAAAGGTGAAGGCAGCAAGTGTGTAGAGATCACATGGTGAGAGAGGAAGCAAGAGAAAAAGGGGATGACTGTGCCAAGCTTTTTGTGACAACCGGCTCAATCAGAAACGTTTAGAATGAGAACTCATTGATTACAGCAAACATGGAACTAAGCCTTTCATGACAGACACACCCCTATGACCCCAACACCTCCCATTAGGTCTACACCCTTAACATTAGGTATCAAATTTTAACATGAGATTGGAGGGAACAAGCAAACCCTATAAAAACTATAGTAAGCCCCATCTCTAACTTGCTCTCCTCATATCCCCATGGTGGATGTTGACAATGTGGGTGGACAGAAGAGGATCATCTGAGCTTTGCTGGTGCCAGTTACCTTTCTTCTTCCCTGCCAGCTTGTTCATCAAGTGGGATTTGCCTGTGCGGCACTGGCCTGCAATAGCCACAACTACGAAAGGCTGGATAATGTCAGACAGGATCTCCAAAGTTTCCGGATTAACCTTCAGTTGCCCTTGAGTGTTCTCAATGAGACACATTGGTTCTGCCATGAGGATCTCTGAAGCCATGTCTAGGGTGCTCCCTAGTCTGCGAGAGAAGAGGTAAGATACATGAGCATTTCCAGTATTTTGCATCCAAAAGGTGGAGTCATAAAATTTCCCAACATAGTCCAAATTGGTTTTTTGTGTCACCAAGATAGATGATGCAATAGCTATGTCATCTGAGAAAGTTATGGAAGTCATATTAAAGTAATTTATTATAAGAATGTTGATACAACAGTGACTGATTAACATTCAGCTTCTCCCATGACCCTCTCACCTACTTAATATATTGTGTAAAACTTTCTTTTCTTCTGGCTACTTGGAAGACTGAGGCAGTAGGATCACTGGAGCCCAGCAGGTCAACGCTGGGGTGACCACTGGGGTGAGCATGCATGCCACTGCAGTCCAGCCTGGGTGATGGAAAAAGATTCCAACTCAAAAAAAAAATTTACATCAGACATCAAAGAGAAAATATAATGGATATTGATATATTATTTTGCCTCCAGACAAAATGTAGGAAATGAAATATTAAATACTTATTCATTAATTTTTTTTGAGCTGGCATCTCACTCTGTCACCCAGACTGGAGTGCAGTGGCACGCTCACGGCCACCACCACATCCTCGACCTGCTGGATATTGGTGATCCTTCCGCCTCAGCCTTCCAACTAGCTGGAACTACAGGCATGTGCTACCACACCCCTCTAATTTTTTATTTATTGTAGAGATGAGATCTTGCCAAGCTGCCCAGGTTGGTCTCAAATCTGTGGGCTCAAGCAATTCACTTGCCTCAGCCTACCAAATTGCTGGGATGACAGACTGAGCCACTGAACCTGGCCTTATTCATTAATTCTTATAGTGAAGACACTCATAAATAAATGTTTCATTGTCGATATACATATTTAGGACAATGTCCAAAGATTTTAAAATTATTTATGCTTGTTTTACTAAAATGTGAATCTACAAAACCTTTTACACTGCCCTTCTGGAAGGAGAACCAACAAGCTTACTTTAGATACTTTTCAAAAACTATATGACCATGTGAAACACATGGCTAGGACTCACCTAAGAGTTTTATAGGGGAATTTGCAAGAGAGGGGCCTTGGAACTTAAGCTTCATATTTTCAGAACAAATAAGCCTACAACTCAGTGAAAGTATAATTGTGCAATTTCAAATACTGAATGTTTCCAAATAGGTGATGAAATCCAGATTGCAAGAAGAGACGGCAAACAAAGAGAGCTAGGTAGGAAGATATTCAAAGAAAATACTTGCATATCCAGCTATACACTTTTAAGTTTTCAGTTTTGTTCTGTTTTCCCATTGGTAGAGAAGGAGAAAGAGAAATAGGAAAGGGAAGAGCAGAGAGTGTTTTTATAGAGGAAGTTAATGAATGAGGCTAGTGTCATGCCAAGGAATTTGGCAGAGGAGTTTCCAGAAGGGTGAATCAAAGTTGTCTGAGGACATGGAGATGTGAAAGTAAGCAGGAGAGAGGATTAAGATGACTGACAGGAGTCTGCTAGTGTGTTTCTCCTATGGAGCAAACCAAGATAAAGTACATTTCCTCAGCACTCAGAGAGGAGCAGGACCAGTAGCAGACCCCATAACTCATCAAAGAAGTGATACTAATCACCTAGCGCAAAAAGAGAAAAATGAAGTGACCTGTGTTGGAAATAGCGAAACTCTCCTCTAGATCATGGCACAGGTCACCGGCAGTCTCTGGATGCAGTGAGGAAGGTGAGTAAGGGGAATTCAGGCGTTCTTTGTTCCTGCTTTGGACTCGGAGGGTCCTGTGAGCCTTGCAGGACTCCAGTCCCTCATGGTGACTGTGTGCACTGTCCAAGCCCATGTGGAGTAGTGCAGGAGTAAAAGAAAGCCTTGAGGAGCTTCAGATGTCATATTCTAGTAACTCAACCCTAGTAGGAGACCTCTTTCAGGTTGAACTTGTAGGGATAGGCTGCCAAGGGCAAACTCCTCAGTGGAAGACAGTTCTTGGCTGGGATGGGCTGCTGTGAGAACAAATGAGGTAAGTTACACTTTTACATTCCTAAGAAAAACAGCCTGAGGGTAAGACAGGGAACCAGTGAGTCTCATTGCCACAGCATCCTCTTATTCCCCATGTAACCATTTTATGTTCCCCCTCCTCCTGTACCATAGCGTTATTCCAGTGGCCTAAAACTCCCTCCCAACCCCTTAGGGTAGCCGAGAGTATACAAGTGGAGTGCTTGAACCTCTTTTCCCCTTGCACTTCCCTGGAAGTCTCAAGACAGACAGACAACTTGGGTAATCCCCAGAGCCCCAACCTCCACCTAGGTTGGTTAGGCACTTCGTTGCAACGACACATGCCAAGGAGAAAGGCCTCAGCCACCATTGCACCTGGTTATCTCCTACAAAAGTCACGTTCTGGTCAGAGGTCAACAGCACAGCCAGCCCACTACATCTGATAAAATATCTCAACTTTGGGGATGGCCTGATCTCAGACCCCTGCTAACACCACTTTCCAAGTCACTCTGGCCACTCAGGACACTGAGTCAGTGTGGGTACCCATCACAGGACTGCCACACCTGACAATTGAGAATGTCACCACACCAAAGCTATATATAACCTAGGGAACCCTACAGTGCCTATGTCAGTCTCCTGCCAACCTAAAAGAAAAAGAAAAAGTCTATCCAAATGAGAAGAAACCAGAAATATAATTTTGACAATATGAAAAAAAAAGGTTCTCCAACACTCAAATACCAAACTAACCCTGTAGTAACGGACCCTGACCAGAATGAAATCTTTGAAGTTCCAGAGATAGAATTCAAAAAATTTATTACAAAATTACCCAGTGAGCCTCAGGAAAAAGTTGGAAACCAATATAATGGGGAAAAAAAAACCTATAAAAAATAAAATTATAAATATAAATTAAAAAGTCTCCAAAGAGATAGACACCTTAAAAAACAAAACAAGACAAACAAGGTGAAATTTCTGAAGTGAAAGCATCATTTAGGAAAGTACAAGATGCTGTGAAATATTTTAATGGGAGACTAGGACAAGCAGAAGAAAGGATCGTGAAAACAATGCTGTTGGATTAACTCAACCAGACAATAATAAAGAAAAAAGAATGAAGATAATGGAACAAAGCCTTCAAGAAACATAGGATTATAGAAAACATTCAAACCTAAGAATCACAGGTCTCCTGAGAAAGAAGAGAATGTAACAGGTTTGGAAAACCAATTTGAGGGAATAATAGAGGAAAACTTCCTTGGTCTTGCCAGAGATGTAACCATCCAGTACAAGTAGCCGAGAAAACCCTCAGAAATTCATCGCAAAAAGGTCATCCCCAAAGCATATAATTATCTGGTTATGCAAAGTTAATGTGAAAGAAAGAATTTTTAGAGCAGCAAGACAAAAACAAAAAATAACTTACAAAGGTAAACTTATCAGAATATCAACAGGCATCTCAAAAGAAATCCTACAAGCCTGAAGGATCGTTAGCCAAGGATTTTGAATCCCACAGACTAAGTTTCATATGATGTAGAAATGGAATCTTTCTCAGACTAGCAATAGCTGAGGGAATTTTTTAGCACTAGATTGACTCTACAAGAAATACTAAAAGGAGTTCTAAATACTGAAACAAAGATCAAAATATACCAGTAGAAAAACACTGTGACTCATAAAGCTCACTAGTCTTATGGATCACCAACACAATGGAGAAAAAAATGCATAACCAGATAACAACTGGTATGATGAATGAAATAGCATCTTAGATATCATTATTAACTCTGAACGTAAATGGTCTCAATGCTCCACTAAACAAATATAGACTGGCAGAAGAGATAAAAACACACACACACACACACACACACACACACACACACACACACACACCAAAATATCTGCTGTCTTCAAAAGATCCACTTATCACAGAAAACCTCCTATAGACTCAAGGTAAAAGAGGGGAAAAATATTTCATGCAAATGAAAATCAAAAACAAGCAGGAATAGCCATTCTCATATCAGATTCAACAGATTCAATTACAACAGTAAAAAAGACAAAGATGGTTATTATATAATGATAAAGGGCTCAATCCCACAAGAAGACATAACAATTTTAGCTATATTGGTACTTAACATCAGACCCCCAACTCTATAAGACAACATTTACTAGACTCCGCAAAAGAGTTATTCAGAATACAAAAATAGTGGGAGACTTCAACACTCCACTGACAGCAAAAAACAGATCACAAAGGCAGAATGTTAACAAAGAAACATACGAATTAACCCAGAGCCTAGAGCAAATGGAACTAACAGACATCTACAAACTTTCCATCCCCAAACTACAGAATATACATTTTTCTCATCAGCACATAGAACATTTTCTAAGACACATTCTATGATAGGCCAAAAATCAAATTTCAAAAAATTTAAAAAAACTGAAATCATATCAAGCAGTTTCTCAGATCACAGCGACATAAACCTAAAAATTAACACCAAGAAGAATTCACAAAACCAAACAAAAACATGAAAGTTAAACAATCAACTTCTTAATGATCAAAATGAAAATTGAAAAAGTCTTCAAAATTTATGACTGCAACAAGTTATCAAAACCTTTGGAACACAGTCAAAGCTTTATTCAGAGGAAAATCTATAGCACATAAGGCCTGCATTAATAAGACTGAAAGATCACATATCAACAACCTAACATCACACCTCAGGGAACTAGACAAACATGAACAAACCGAGCCCAAAGTCAGCAGAATAAAAGAAGTAATAAAAATGAGAGAAAACTAAATGAAATTGAAGTAAAAAATATAAAGGATCAATGAAAAAAAGTTTTTATGAAGCTATTCCATAAGATTGAAATGAGGGAATTCTCCCTAACATTCTATGAAGCCAGTGTCACCCTGATAACAAAAGCAAGAAAAGACAAAACAACAACAAAAACTGTAGACCAACATCCCTTATGAACATAGACACAAACATTCTCGCAAAAGATTAGCAAACAAAATTCAAGAGCACATAAAAAAATTCTATCATTACCAAGTGG